CTGGGGGGAAGGGGGGGGGGGGGTTGATAACATCTATTTACGGATCAGTGTTACATGTCCTGCTAGGGTAAGGTAACAAATGATCTGTTCAAACCGGCAGTACTTCTACCGGTGTAGCGGGCTGTCAGTCTAACCGGTGCATTGTATACATGCCTGAAGGACTGTGCTATTGTTACTGCATTATTAGAATATTACCTGATTGGTAAAAAAAAACTTTTATATCACTAATCATGAAGACAAAACCAGTGTCTATAATAAAGTTAATACAATCAATGTGCTAATCTGTGGACAGTACTATTTGATCGATAGGATGCAGTTTTCAAGCAACAAAGTAATGGGTAAGATTATGCGACTTGTGCGCCTTGCACATTTTGCAGTAGTGATACGTAACTGGCTTTGCCTCCAAAAACTGCACTCTGTACATAATGTATACTGTGTTGATAGCATATGCGTAGCCTGGTTAGTGTAACATGCTGTCTCCAAGACAGTCCATTATAGACTGTATGGTTTGTCCATATCAAATGTCCCTACAGTACTTTCATGATACCAGATGTTACGGTGTCGGTTTTTCTCCATGTTTTTTTCGGTGGTCCATGTCTGGCCTCAAAATCTAGAAGACAGCTAAAAACACGTTTTTCAGTTTATCATACTGGTGATATGAAACTGGTTTTAACTCCTAAAAGGCTTCCTGTGCATAGCATATAGCGTACTGACATCCTATGCGTAGCCTAGTCAGGGTAATCTGCTATCTCCATTATAGACTTTATGGGGTTTGTCTATATCAAATGTCCCGGCAATACTCTCACAAAGTCAGATAGTGCCATGTCCCTCGCAATCTCGAAGGCAGCTGAAAACACGCTTTTTCATTGATTGAGAGATAGGGGTGTTGCATAATGTGGCTCTTCATGGGAAAAGCTAATTTGGCTGACTGATCATCCGTGTCACAGCATGATATTCCTCTATGAAAGGGTATCCAGTAAAGTGACACTTGAATACCCTTGTTCTGACAGTCTAGAAATTGGGTGAAGGATATTTCAAGTTGTCTTGTTTTCTGGATTAAATGCACAAGCCTATGGAGTGCACCTTGGCTGTCAGTAAAGACAGACAGGTGTCGCTGTTGTTCACTACCTTTTGAATGACATGGCAGACGGCTACTGACTCAGCAGCAGTTGTGTTTGCCCAGTTGGAGAGAGAGACGAGAGAGAGAGGAGAGAGAGAGAGAGAGAGAGAGAGGAGAGAGAGAGAGAGAAAGAGAGAGAGAGAGAGAGAGAGAGAGAGAGAGAAGAGAGAGAGAGAGAGAGAGAGAGAGAGAGAGAGAGAGAGAAGAGAGAGAGAGAAGAAAGGGAAGAAAAGGGTGTTTAGAAGGGGGAGGGAGAGGAGACTGGTTGAGGGGGAAGGAGGGAGGGAGGGTAGAAAGGGGGCGATTGAAATGAAGGGGGTTGAGGAGAGAGGAGAAGGTGGGAGTGGAATGAGGGAGGAGAGCCGGGAGGGAGTAAGACGGAAGGAAAGGAGAAAAGGGGTGAGGGGGGAGGGGGGATGAGAGGAGAGAGCTAGGTAGGAGAAATGAAGAATCGGGGGGTGAGAGGTGAGGGAGAGAATGAGAAGAGAGAAGGGGGAGAGCATGAGAGAGAAGTTAGACATGAGATAATGAGAGAAACAATAAAAATAATAAATGAAGGGAGAAAGAAAAAAATAATGAGGGAAAAAGAGAGAAACGGAAAGGGGATTGAAGGAGAGAGGAGTAAATGAGAAAAATAATAGCGGTGATAATGATAATACCAATAATATATACTTTTCTACAAATAATAACAACAAACACAGAAACAGGAAAGGCAATAATAATAACAATACTTATCTCACGTCAACCACAACAACCACAACCATGTGCACACAATCTTGAACAACCACAAGCAACACAACAAGCTCTACAACAACACAAGGCATCTCTAGCTCTACAACAACCACAACCATACAACAACAACCACAAGCTCTACCAACAACCAAAAGCTCTACCAACAACAACAACAACCATATCACACACCAACCACCTTAAAATAAAAAAAAATTAAGCCCAGTAAATCGGCGATCACTATGCGGCAACACGACCGCCCGAAAAATCGAGTGCTCAGTCACAAGAAAATTCGTGATGTCGGTTCGAGGCAAGGACGAAGGGTGGGTGGGAGGGGGGGGGGGGGAGGCATGGCTGGGTGTGCATTGTTCTACTTGGTTTGTGTAATTACAATGGTGTGTGTGTGGGGGGGGTGATTGGTTAAGGTGGGGGTAGGTGGGGTGGGGGTGGGTGGTGATTGGTTAAGGTGACGGTGAGGTGGGGGGGGTGATTGGATAAGGTGGGGGTGGGGTAGGGGTGGGTTAAGGTGTGCGTGTGTGTGTGTGTGTGTGGTGTGTGTGTGTGTGTGTGTGTGTGTGTGTGTGTGTGTGTGTGTGGTGTGTGTGTGTGTGTGTGTGTGCGTGTGCGTGCGTGTGTGTGCGTGTGTGCGTGCGTGTATGTGTGTGTGTGTGTGCGTGTGCGTGTGCGTGTGCGTGTGCGTGTGAGTGTGTGTGTGTGCGTGTGCGTGTATGTGCGTGTGTGTGTGTGTGAGTTTGTGTGTGTGTGTGTGTGTGTGTGTGTGTGTGTGTGTGTGTGTGTGTGTGTGTGTGTGTGTGTGTGTGTGTGAGCTGTGTGTGTGTGTGTGTGTGTGTGTGTGTGTGTGTGTGTGTGTGTGTGTGTGTGTGTGTGTGTGTGTGTGTGTGAGCGTGAGTGTGAGTGTGAGTGTTAGTGTGTGTGAGTGTGTGTGTGTGAAAGAGAGAGAGAGTGCGAGTGTGTGTGTGTCTGTATGAGTGTTTGCGTTTGCGTGTGTGAGCGAAATAGTATAAAAGTGAGAGTAAATACGAGAGCGAGATTGAAACTGGAAATATATGTATGAATGGGTGTAAAAAAATGCTATACAGCCACATAGAAAAACTCGGCCACATAGCTACATGCCAGAGAGATCTCACAGACAACAGTTAACTACTCATGATATAGATAGAAAGAAGCAAAAACAATAAAGGTACAATTTTTTCTCATCATCATCATTGCCTTATATTCTAAAATTCTAAAAAAAAAAGTGAAAAAGAGGTTTCTGTAGATACCTCGGAAATACCTGAATAATTAACAAGGGGGAACAAACAGACGAGTTTTTGAAAAGTTTTTCTCGTTGGTACCTCGCCGCCAAGGAGATTATGTTTTTGGTAGCGTTGGTTAGTTTGTCTGTCGATTCGCCAGATAACTCAAAAAGTTCTGAACGTGTTCTTAGCCCAACTTAATTAAGGACCTATCACACTGTCACTTTTTCCGTCAATTGTTTGCGTTTCCGAATAAACTTCCCGTTTGAAAATCGACTGACCCCATCGCATTCCAAGGCAGCAGACAGCGCCCATGTAAACAAACATGGCGCCATCGGAGTGAGGTCCCGGGAATCACACGAACATTCCCATACATATTACGTTATTTTAAAGAAATATGATGGTGGATATTGTATATATAAATGTTCTAAAATATGAGGTTATGTTTACACTTACTCATTCTATCTAATTTATCAATAACAAAAAAACATTCCAGTTGTATAGATCCTTCGTAGCACAAGATCAAGACGAAATTAGTCAGACGGAAACGGTCGTAACCGTCTTTGTCTGGGAGGCGTTCCGTTTGGAAACGATACTTGCGGAAAGCCTCAAATTCAGACGGAAACGCAAAAATTGACGGAAAAGTGCTAGTGTGAAAAGAGCCTTTAGATGCTATTTTTTGGTGGTAATCCGGGTCCAGGATTTTTTTTTAATCGTTGCATCAGTTACCCCTGTTGCCTGGAACAGGGGTAACAGGGAAAACTCTCTGGCGTTTCAATTATCATCATCCTGTTACCTTGGCGGTGGTATGCGCCCTCCGAGTGCTTCTAGATACTTCTGTTACTCCTCCTTCTCTGTCTATTCTTTCTCCTCCTTCCTCTTCTACTTCATCTTTTGATATTCTTTCCCGTCTCGTTCTTCCTCCTCTTCTTTCTCCTCTTCCCCGTTCTTTTCTGTTTCTTCTCATTCTTTCTCTTCATCTCTTCCTGCTATTCTTCTTCGTTCCTCCTTTTCCTCTTCCCCGTTCTCTTACATTTTTTTCCTATTCCTCCACTTCCTCTCTTCCTGCACTTCCTCTTCCTTCCCTTCCTCCTCCTCTCCTTCCATACTTCCTTTTCCTCTCGCTCTTCCCCTTCTTTCTCTCGCTCTCTCCCCTTCTTCCTCTCGCTCCCCCCCCTCTTCCTCCTCTCCTCCTCTCCCCCCCCCCTCTTCCTCCTCCTTCTCCTCTCACTCCTTCCCTCTCTCTTCCTCTCGCTCTCCCCCCCTTCTTCCTCCTCTTCTTCACTCCCTTCCTCCTCTCCCCTCTTTACGCCAATACTCTAGACAAAAAAAAAGTAATAAACAAATAATAAACAAACAAAAGAATATAGAGAAACAAACAAGTAAACACATTAACGAACAAACAACACAGACCAACGACCCTATAAACAGACAGATAACCAGATAAGCAAAGAGAACACAGGGGTCTTAATAGTCCAGCCACGACCCACCCCCGACGAAGCATTGTATGGAAATGGGTCTTCGGCGGGACCTCTCTCCTCTCTCCCTCGAATACATTGGCGGGGGAGAGTCCGGCTCATGTGCGGAGGGAGGGAGGGAGGGAGGGGGAAGGAGGAAGGGGAGAGGGGGGGGGGGAGAGGGAGGGAGGGAGGGAGGAGGGAGTGGAAGGGGGAGATAGGGAGGGAGGAGAGGGTGGGAAGGGGGAGAGAGGGAGGGTGGGAATGGAAGGGGGAGAGGGGAGAGAGAGAGAGAGAGAGAGAGAGAGAGAGAAGAGAGAAGAGAGAGAGAGAGAGAGAGAGAGAGAGAGAGAGAGAGAGAGATTTTATTTGAAAAAAAATAAATACAGAACAATTTACATGTTCTGTAAAAAGTCAGGGAAAGATGTCCAGTCATTT